CGGCCACTGCAGCTGCGGGGATTTACATAAACAACTTTCTTTTGTGCACGTGGAAAATGTAGTGCGTGGAAGCTCTCGAAAAAGAAACGCCATGAATCAAATGATCAAAATCTCGAAATGGAAATCTCTGTTTTGGAATCTACGGCGTGAGGATAGAATATCAAATTCTATTCCTAACTCCTAACACAATATACACCCAAACAAGATTAACAAAAAAAATATCTACAATCAGCTTCTTTATCTAGAATAATAACATTTATAACTTTTATGTGCTACTACTCATGTTCCGTTTTTATTTTCTTTGTGTAATTTTGTGCTGATTGTTTGATTATAAATAGCTACTACACAAAGCGTTACATGTCAAGTAACTTGTCAAGTACTTTGAATCAGTTATTTCATTATTATCTTCTATTATAATCACTATCACAAGATTTACCGCGGCAAATTTACTTGCCCAAATATCTAATTTACACTTCAAGAAATGAAAGCGGCCAAATATTAAATTTATACTATTAACTATTATATTAAGTTAACTGAATTACAAACAAATATTAATTTGACAACAATAATAGTATTTATTGTAATAATTCTATAAAATTTTAAATCCATAAGAGATAAATATTATTGTTATAATTATAATTTATAATAAAATTTAGTAAACGCCTGAAAATAGAATAAAATATTTTTATATTATATTCAATGCATTTTCTAGCATTTGACAAAATTATTTGGAATTTGTCAAATACAAATACTTTTAGTTACAAATTAGTACTGTACAGTGCAGATGGTAATAACGTCTTAACGACAGATCCAGTGGTTTTAAACGCTTCACTCTTTGGGTTGTTAATCTGTTCATAAATAGATTTTAAGGGAAAACATTTGTGTGGCTTTCAATCCTTCAGTTTTGCTACTGCTTCTTTCAACACCTTTCACTAATGTTTCCATTTAAAGGTTTTCGTGTCTCCCCATTTAAGTTTCTTAAGCTTTTCTACTGTAATCTTTGGATAATTTCTAAATTCTGTAATGAATATTCTGCATATAACTAAATAAGTTTGAGGATTACATAAAGTAGTTTATTTTCAGTGCTCATAGCCTTTTTTTAGTATGTTAGGTTTTCTTGTTATTTCTAAACATATTACAAAAATATGTGGTTAGTAAATATCTTGTAATATTTTATTTTACCTGAATACCTTGCATATTGCGGTTTCGATCAGTTCAGATTCACTATAGTCCGGTTTGAAAATTTAAAAACAATATAAGTTTTAATTGAGTAAAATAAAATAAATTTAAAAAAGTACACATTTTTTTTAAACATAAATGATCAGTTTGTCACTTTATACAGTCAACTATTTATTTTTATACGTATTTAGTTCTTCGATTAATTCAGTTTAAAATAGTCCTGGATATTGGAAGAACCCGTACTATTCGAGGGATTGCTGTACGTACGTATTTTAAAGGCGTTAATACAGAACATATTATAAAAATTACTACCGAAAAATGTTTGCAAATAATGTGAAATACAGTCAACAACTCGTTAATTATAATTTAATATTGTTGTTTGAAGTGAATAAATGAAGTTTACTTTTAAGCAGAAGCATGTTTTGCATCAAGCTAAGAGCAGAAAACAACGTGCATCTAAAAATATCCATGAAATATACAAAAATAGATTGTTGAATGAAAATTGCAACTTGCTTTGATTTGTTTATTTCTCGGTATAAATTAAAAACGTCATGAATGTTTCAGAAATGATTTTGTTTTGAAAGTCTATAGATTTCTTCGTATTAAATTCGAACAAAAAGTGTTGATCAACCTTATATTTGCACTTGTAATATTATTTTTTATAATTTAATTTATTAATTACAAAATATGAAAAAGTGGTTGATAAATATTTTTTTATATACCCTCATAATTTTATTCTTAGATTAATGTATAAATTAAAAAGAGAATAATGTATATATAAACAAACTATCACTAAGTACTTGTTAATTTTTTAACGATAAATTTACTATATATGTTGGCTTTCACTTTTGTGCTTGTCAGATAAAATAAAATTTAACTGTTATAAATTAGTGAAATGTATGTATCTATAAGTATATGCATGTGTTTAATTGGCTGCAATAAAATATATAATATATTGTTAAAATAAGCAAACAGAAGTCAACAGAACAGAAATAAATCGCGTTAATTAATAACGAAGATTGTTGTATCGTAGATGGAAAGTAATATTTTCTCGAGGAAGTTCTAAAAATATGGACTCGATTGTTAAGTGCCATTGATTTAGTATCGGTGTTTAGCGAGAGCGGCGTGCAATAAATAAATAACTAAATGAAAAAAAAAGAATAAGAAACATGAAGAAGTAGTAGTAGAAGAAGCAGAGAGAAAAAAATAGCGGCGGTCTGGAGTTTTAATTAAAGAGATTAAAAGCCATTTAATTGGAGCACATTCCCGATGTGATATCTTAATTCCCATGCAATAAATCAATTCTCTTATGGAGCGTAAATCAAAGGAGCGAACAAGCGAGCAAACATAACCGAACACAGAATAAAGAACAGTTAGCCTCTTTCATTCGAGCGTCAATTTAGTAGAGACCTGTTTCTTCCGTTCCCCTCGCTCATTTATATTTAACTCCTTCTGTTTCAATTCCAGGCGAGCCAGGAAGTGCATTACCTCCATTGTTTTAATCCTACCACCTTTTTAATTGGAAGTGTATGTTTTGTTTTTGTCAAGTTCAGTTATTCCAGGAAGTTCATGTGGAAAAAAGAAAAACTTGTATAACTTTCAATAATAAACTGAATTAATTGTCCATTATAAACAGCAACACACACAATACTGTAAATGAATTTCTTAAAATATACAAAGTTATTTCCACATAATTCTTACAACCCCGCAGAAACGACTTGTTGGATATATATTACATTGTTTTCATGGTCATTGTATTAGCTGCAAATTAACTAATTTTCTATTTTTGTTTTAATGTAAAAATTTAATCCATGTAAATAAATAAATATAAACAAATATGTTTTTAGAATTTATGAATATGAATTTAAAACTATCTTAGTTTATTTGTCTTACATTTCCTTTCAATTTCGTTGTCCAAAAATAGAGTTGATTTATTGATTTTTTTTAGTCGATGTATAGTTGATGATTTTCTTATATTGATAAATTATATTTATGTAAAAATATTATATTCAATATTTTTGATATGTTTTCATGTGTTTTTTATTTCTTAATTATTTTTTCTTTGTAATCATTTATGTAGTTGTATAATTGTTACAATAAGTTTTGTTATTTTTAATTAATTACCTTTAACTAAAAGCAATGTTAGTTTAAAGTTATTTGTTAAATTCTACTTTAAATCTAAGTTAAACAATATGTCTAACATAAGATAGAAATTAGAAATAAATTACAGAGAGATGTAAAATTGTTGTTGCTTAATTTGTAGAAATTACATAAATTAATAAAAATATTTTAAATGATTGATTTATTAAAGAAAAAGGTTAAAAATAAAATAATTTATTCTTAAAATGTTCTGTTTCTTATTTGGCGTCGAGGTTATATTTATTTATTTGCTTGAGGTTGTAATTAAATCGTATATCGTATTTATTTATTTGAAACTTCCATATGTATGCAACGTGTTCTAATTGTACAATAAACAACGAACGAAGTTTAGACAAATGTGTATGGAGTGTAATAAATTTGAAGAAAAAAAGAGAGAATTGCTACCTAATGAATAATGGTAATGAAAAGAAAAAGAAAACATAATGAAGCACTTTAATCGTATCCATTTTATAACATGTTACTTCGTAAAGTCAGGAAGTGCATTAGTCCATTGTTATAATCCTCCTATTTTTTAATTAGGCGCTTAACGCGATCATTTCTGGTGTTTGAGGAAGAGAACGGATCGTCCTTTGTAGAACCGTAAAGGAAATAATTGCGCGAGACACGAGATAAGCCAATAAATCAATAAGACGTGGATGTGTGTTTATATAGACTAGGTACACGGCCTGCTGGTAATGCGATTTAGATTAGAGCCCTGATGGCATGTGACAAACTTGACAGCTTATCTCTGGCAAGTATCGGGCGTAGAGCGAGAGAAGGAGAGAGAAAAGAGAGATCGAGAGAGCGCTACCAGGTTTTTCCTTTCCGCGCGCGTCGAGTGTAATTCCTCATCCTCATCTCGATGTCATCGTGATGGATACGGAGGGGAAAAAAGGGCATCACCCCAGAGGAGTTGTGCAAATGCACCGAAGCAGCCAACGTTAAACACCATTATTCAGGGCCCACGCACATTTGCTCGCAGACTAATTACTCATAAATTATAACATAAAGCATTCGCCTTTTGATCCCAGAAGAACATAAATAAACGGTGCGGCGGGCGTCAGTCACAACATCCGAAAGGTGGACGAACCTTCTCTCTACTCTGTGGATGATGCCGAGGAGCAAAATAAAAAAAGAAACAAAATGAAACCTCACACGCAGCTCTGACTCTCGCATACACACAAGCACGCACATACATCGATTGCTCTTTTCGTTTAATAAGTGAATTGCTAAAATATTTATTAGGTCGTTAAGATTATTTGCCGAAGGAGAATGATGAATGGGTTCTTGTCACATGGGCGATTCATCAAAACCGGGGACGAGGTCACTCACATCCATCAACTCGGCATTCACACCCATAAATCCATTAAAACGCAAAGTGGGAGACGGACAAGAAGATGAAAAATATGAAGAGACAAAAAAAATAAGGCTGAGAGCGACCATCTGCTTCTCCGGTGAGGTGATTTTCAGGGTATTCATTCAATTAGGCACAAGTTTTCTACAAACATTTTTCTCTCTTTATTTATTTAATACATTGTTTAAAGCATTATCGCAACTTGTTCGCATAATGAATCAGAAGAAACTATTACAAGTGTTGATTAATTATATATAATGTAATATAATATAATATATATTTATATATTTATTTTAAATAACTTAAACATAATAACGAATATATTTGTTTTTGTTTTTTTTTAGACCTAAGGATTGCACTTAAACCGCAAAATATATATTTACATATTATCACAGTATTTCATATGGACAATAGACTCGCTTGTTGTTTTGGTTGTTGAGAGGAGGATTAAGGTTGGTTGTTTCCTTAAATCCTTCTTCCCATTCGATCAGTCTGCTTGTCGGTATGGATTACATTCGGTAATAGATGTCTTCATACGATTATGGATGGACAGCCGCGGCGCCCAAACGCTGACCGTAGATGGAATACGGTGTGTAATAAGGGCCTAAGGTTGTGGGGTTGAATGCGCTGAACGGAGATGCGGCCAGAGATGGTGCATGTGTTGGTTTGCCGTAAGGATGGTAGCGGGCGGCGGATAGAGGCGAGAGTGGTGGATTCGGATATCCGGCCCTGTGCAAGGCAGAGGTGGAGAACAGAGAATGCGGGTTCAAGAGAGGAGATGAAGAGGCTGTGGAGACGGCGGTAGCTTCTGTTCCGTTCGTGTGGGTCCTCAGGTGTTGGAGGAGCTCTTCGGAGGTGACGAAGCGTTTACCGCAGTAGGTATCACCCACAATCCAGTTGCAGATGTAAGGACGTCCCAGCTGGGAATAGGCGAGAGAGGACGGCGGTACGGGACCTGGAGGCACTAAGGACATGGCCATGGCGAGGTTGTACTTCTGGTGATCGCACTGGGTACATCCGCTCGGGCACGGACCCGTCGCTCCACCGCCCATCAGAAGTTGCTGGTTGTGCATGCTAAACTGGCATCCGGTACAATAAGGATCTTTACACACTGGAACTAATGCTTCACCACCCGACGGGGTTTTCACTCGCGCATAACTCAAGTAGGGTCCTGGTGTAGATCCTGGATATCCAAGCATCGCGTGATGATGCGAAAAAGGCGCACCTGGGAAAGGAGGCCTGAATGCCGGATTCGTATGCTCCAAACCCGGCGGACAGCAGAGAGAACTCAGAGGAAGACTTCCAGGCATAGTACCGGGCTTGTAAGTCCCCAGCGGCGAGTCCTTCGGATGGCCCTGCAGGATTTCCAATCCGGATCTGATAATCGGACTAGCACCGCGCGGAGTTGAAGACTTCCTCTCATTTGACGGCGTTGTCTTTCCATTATCCGGAACCGGAGTACCGCTGCTTGCAGGCGAAGCGGTTTTCCTGTTGTTCGGAGTTTCCGCTTTCTTATCTTCCGTCTCGGACAAGGTGGACTTAGAAGAAGGTCTTGGGATTTCTTCGGTTCTTTTGATAGTCACGTTGTTCTCGTACGGTTTGAAGGCGAGTTTAGGTTCCGCCGGACTGCTGCGAGCAATCTTCTCTGTCTTCTCTCTGTTATTCGCGGGTGATGATCGCGATAAATCCACACTGGAATTTTTCTTAGGTTTCTCCAATGGAGAGATTATGGACTTCGTCGAAGGAGAGTCCGCTCCAATCTGACTGCACGTTTGCGCCAACATAGCCAAAGGACTTTTCTTTGCGTCAAACTGTAATTTAAAAAAAACAAATATTTAGCAACGATTCAATATGAAAATAACAAAATATCTGGTAATTACAGTATTTTCAGGGATAAGAAACTAACCGTGGTTGGCAGAGGTGAAAGGTAATCCGGTTGTAAATACTGGTTTCCTGAAGAAGACAACATCCCGCCGACTTCCAGCACCACCATTTGGATTCAAAAAAACTATTTGTTTGCGCTTTATTGCAACTCGCGATGTTCCGTTGTATTATAAATTACTAACTACTCTGATGCGATGATATCAAGTAAACGACGTAGGTATATGCACAGGGGACGACTCAGATCTGCGCCTGTATTGCCTCGACTGTCTTCACTGGAATGAATATGCTCTACCTCTCGGACTGAAGCGTCGAAACCTTTTGGAGTTGCGCATGACCCGACCCCACCAGTTTTTCAGAACTTGTGCTCGCACACACACACCGACACATACCCATGCACACCAACGAAGGTTTGAACAGCATGACAAAGCGCTAATACCGCCACGTTTCTGGCCTGTCGGCTCTTACCACCCATGAAGTTGGTGACGATGACAGACCCTTTGAGAACCGCCGCCGACTATATAACATCTCTCCTAATCAGTAGCCCGTAAGAATGGGAAAAGGACACAAAAAAAACAAAATGAAAGAGGAGACGTGAAGAGCGGAGGAGCAAAAGAGCAGAGAAAGGGTTGTGGATGTAAAAACTATTAAATAATCCTTTCAGGTTGCCACTCATTGGAATAGGACGCAGGATGGAAATAAGGATAAACACGTAAGAGGGGAACAGTTCCGATGGAGTTATTACCGAGCGCCGATCGTAAAATGGGCTTGGGTTATAGCCAGGCTTTATTTATTTTATAGTTATGTCTGTTACAGCTGTCATATCTTTTATAAACTTGTCTGTATATTTTACCTGGTTGAAACGCGCTGCGGCGTGGGCATTATAATTCACCGCCGTAATAAATAAGTTTTCAGCGGCTTTACAGCCGCGAGCGAACCAAAATAAAACGTAAATACGTTACACACGTATGCACTCGCATGCACACACACATATAAATACGTACACTTCAATGTAAAGAAAAAGAGCGGTCTATATAGTAGTACTCAGTAAAGGCCCTTCTCCAAAAAAAAACGCATGATTCTTATGTTTCACACAAAATGAACATCAACAAACATCACATTTCTTTCAAAACGTTGTTTTTACCTCAAAGTTTCGTATTACAAAAATAATTTCCTGCCAAACTCATAGAAAATGCGTACTCTATTTTAACCGAGAATTGTATAGCCTCTAAATCCATCAGAAAACTTGAAGTGCGTTCAACTTTGAAAATACTTAATGTCAATGTCATTAAGATGAATACGATTTTCTAAATACATACATATTTGTCATAACAAAAATTAATTGAGAAAGTGTTATGCACATAATGACAAAAATTCAAAGGTTTTGCGCAATTAATAAATCATTAGAAAACAGATGTGTAAAATGAAGCCCTTTTTTAAGATACAAATAAAAAGTTTATGAGTTTTTACATGAATAGTAACACAATTAATTGATTTCCTTTTTAAAACCAAATTGCTTTCACGCTTCTGCATCGCCAAAGAATTGGAAAGTTATTGAATAGTTGTAAAATAATTTTGCTTCTAAATACATTACAATGGTCGAAAGGTTTAAAGGAGTAAAAGGCTTAACAATGCCCATATTTGAAAAGGGGCGACTAATAGCCGAATGGTTAAGTCGCCCTACCCACGATTTCGTTGGCGCCGGTTCGAATCCTGGTCAAGCCAAGCTTGCAGCAATAGGACCATCGTTAATCACAGATCGACAGTTAAATTAATGACGTTCAGCATATGAACCTTTAGCGAAGTCGATGGACAATGACAGTATTAAGGATATCAACAGATTCACAGTCAAATGAAATAGTGGAATCGCAGAGCATCAATATACTGCTGAAGTTATCCTACAAGACGACAGCTAACCATCTTGGTTGCAATAATTATAACATTCTTGGTTAATTAACAGTCAATTGTGTTTTAATTAATTATTGTATTATATATGTATACACATTTTCCGGAATCCATCACAAATCAAATTGATTTATTTATATTACCCCCAATTAAAAAAAAATATATTTTTTACATTCTTTCAACGAAAATTATTAACTACTAGAAAATTCGTGTAGAAAATGTACATAGAACAGTTTTTTTTTGGAAATTATGAATGAACCTGACCGAACGCTTTCTAAGTATTCTACGTTTTTTTTAACTACTCTTTTATTTGTTGTCCTTAATACTTTTATTATATGTTTTGATGCTTCTTATTTTTAAAATTTTACAAGTCATAGATACGGCAATAAATACTTGAAACGGTTTGGTGCACAATAAACCTTGTTTTTTCTCTTCGCAGGTCTTCTTTTTATGGGATAACTTACAACTAAAAATACCTGGTAGGTATTAAAACATCATTCAATCAGTTCATTGCAAAAAAAAATGTATATTCAACCCGGATATTGGAGATTTAGTGCTGCAGTAACGTTTTATGTACATAATCCTATTAGCGAAAAAATATGAATGAATAAACTCTTAGTGAAATTTTGTGAAAGTTGCAGTTGCTGGAATACTATTGATTTCCTGTTAAGTTATTTGTAAATAACTTATGTCATCTAGTCGTTGAGTTTTAAAGCTTAATATTAAATTAAGACTAAATGAAAAAACTTTAAATTATATAAAAAAAAAATATATTTATCTAATAACTGAATTTCGATTAAACCAAAAAATAATGTTTAAAACAGTTGTTTTCTTATTTTGTTGAACTGTTTATTTTATTTTATTCAATTTAACGCATGCTGAGTTTTAATTGTTATCTAAAACTTATGGAAGTAAAAACATGTAAATAAAAAGATTCTTCATTTGCTGAAACAAAGGCAATGCTCTTTTCTAAGGCAGATCCTCTTATGAAAAAAGATTAGTTGTTTTTTTATCAAAGAGAATAAAATATCTGAATTTGTAATGTTATAAAGGTAGTCGGTTGCAATACTTTAACGTTTCAATTTGTATGTTTCATTATTTGTTTTGCTAAAGATCGGTATCATTTTTGGGGTTTAATAGGTTACAAATGTTAACGTCACTACATGTTTCGATACAACGAAGTCCTTACTTTTAATAAATCAAAAACAAACGCAATTGACAACGATAGTTCTTAGGTAAAAGTCAATATGAAATGAAGTTCAAATGAAAAATTAGAAATGAAGTGTGCCAAAGTAGTTTTAACTTTAAAAACGATGTTTCATTTAAAGGAGTACTTTTGTAGAACCAATAAAATTAGAAAATAATTAAGTCTCATTCTTAATTTTCAATTGAGATGGAATAGAAAAATCAATTCATAAAATATCTTTAAGAAGCTGAAGTCCTGTTTAAAAAAAGAGTTTTTAATATACAAACACAAGATGCTCAAAAGATGGTTAACAATAAAACTAAAATAACATTTTATAGTAATTTATTGTTATTTGATTTTTATGGAGACATTATTTTAATATATTTTTATATTTTTTATATATAGTGAAATCTCGCATAATGAGTACCTCGCAGAACGAGCATTTCTCTTAACGAGCAAAATGAATTGAAAGACTCGCTTAACGAGCGACGTTTCGCATAACGTGTGACCTCGCTTAACGAGCGACGTTTCGCATAACGAGTGACGATGAGAAGAGAAGTCCCGGATTGCGCGCCTGCTACATCATTTTTAAAACTTGTGTACACATATTATGTGTATTTTTGAATATGTTTCACTATACAAGTAAAAATCCGGAAATTTTGGAATGGATTAAACTCGTTAAGCAAGCTTCCAATGTATATTAAATATACAGAAAATAAGTTATAATTTTTTTTTCTCTTTGTGCTTTTTTGTGAAAAATCGAAAACCTGTTAAAATCCATTCTTGTAGAAAAGTTGCGATTTTAAAAGTCGTTTTTTGTATAAACCCTACCGTTGTATTACCAGGATTTTTAATTGTTGCCTCCCAAATGATTCGTATTGAACATCCCACTTCCATTGGATCCTTTTATTTCGCCCTATTTTAAAATAATAATGTAGTAAATGGTACCGATTTATTACTGTTTTAAAGCGTTTTTGTTATTACTTTTCTGCATTTATCTGAAAATAAATGTTCAACGAAGAAATAGAGTGGAAGAAGTGCGTGTGAGGATGATGAGACGGTGGTGGTGGAGGAGGAAGAGAGGCGTCGGGACAATGTTTGAGAGTTCGCCTGACAAAGAAATAACACCGTGGTTGGTATTTAAAAAAGAGTGGCCTGTAATTTAGCAGTCAGTAAATGGTGATGGCGGCGTGTCGGTGAGGCATATCTTTATCCTTGTTTGCCTAACGGTGCCAAGTTGCCTAACATAGCGCGCCATCACCACGCCTTATAATTACGACTTCCCGACTAAATGGGCTCGCTGTCAGCTCGCACCTTCATTTGTCTTAGGCAGGACGCTGGCAGGCGCGATGGTTATCGTTAATGATGGCTCCGGCCGTATCTCTTCATCAGCCCGTCTCACTCTAACGCACGTCCACCTCGCTTTCCTCCTTCTCGCTCTCTTTGCTCTCCTCTCGCTCCACGCTCGCCTTGCTCGCTGCCAGCGCTACCCGGACTTAGTAGCCGCTACATGGACAGCTACATGAACACTTGTCATTTAGATCCATAAAAATAACTCAAATGTTGCCACGCTAATTTACTGTCAGCAAGCGGAAATTGTTAACGACGCCTCGTTATCTACAACCACTCTAGACCTCTGCTCTACCTCAACCACCTCTTCCTCATCCCTCGACTTCTTCATTCCCACTCTAGATATCTAATAGTTCCCTACGCAACCATTAACCATTGCACCCAGATAAGACCTGTACCATGGAATCAATCATCTAGCAACCCTTAAGATATATGGATTAAAAAGAAACCACTCGAGCGTGACTTAACAGGATTGTCGGACCACCGAAAGAAAATACAATAAAACAGGAGTCATAACTTATCTTGAAGTCGAGTCCCCTCGTAAACATTTCCAACCATTTACATAATAATCCGTTGCGTTTACGACGTTCTCATTATTAAAAATATATACGCTCACCGTAAAAGGGGTGCAAACCCTTCTCTTTTTTTTTAAATTCGTTTGATGTCAACTGGAGTAAGGTAATATTTGCATTGAACCATTTTCAGAAAATACGATTCAATAAACACGTTCTACCGATACGTATTGTTGCCGTCATGATTTTCGCAACAACTGCGCATATTTTAGGCATATTTTTCCTTTTCCTTTTTATTGCGCATTAATAGAACATTTACTGCTATATTGGACTAAATACAACCATAAT